ATTTTCATTAATACATAATATATATATTTAATTATTAATGAAAATAAACATTATTTATGTAGCAAAGAAAATATTATTATTTTTTGAGAGGTGCCTCAACAACCGAGCCTATTTCTTATATAAAACGCTCCTGCGCCAGAGCTATCGGCGGCTCGACCGCCAGCGGCCGGGCGGTAGTGGGGGAATAGGAGGCGTCGTCTCTTAAACGGCTCGAAATGTGCAACTAATTCCGAGCGCTGATATAAGCACAACGCCAAAATGAACACAAAATGCATTTTAAATTGATACAAGTTGTTAAGACATATAGAATAAATTATTAAAATTATCTTTAGCTGAGTCATAAAGCTCGTATAATTTCGGATAATTGATCATTGTCCTTGATAGCTCTTTAGGAAGATCTGTATTTGGCGATTCTACTTGCGATCTATTGGGAAATCTATGCGAAGCGTACATGATGATAAATTACTTGGCACATAATTTGCGTGTAAGGTAGGTGATTAATTTTGATAAATTAGTAAGATATGTCAGTAATCAAAAGGACAGTAGCATTGATTTAATTCCAGAATTTAAGCAAAAAGATATAAATGGAAATTCGCTTATGTGACATAAATAAATTTTTATTGGTACTTAAAGTACTCACTTCTAAAATTGAGTCAATGCCACTGTTATTTTGGTCATTTATAAATTTTATTGATCTGTTTTGAAATTGTATTATGAGGGATAGTTGCATTATTAATCTTCTAGTCTTGAATCGGGAAAGTTTTAAGAAGAAAGATTGAGAAAGATTTTCTGTGTTTTTAGTTTTTGCTAAATTTTACATCTTTACTATATGATCCGATTTCACATGCGTTAGAATAAAAGACTATTAACAATCTTTGTATATTATTTGTCCACAATGCTGCGCGATTGATATGCGTTTGATAAATTTAATTAATAATTTTTTATTATTAGTCGCATATGTTGTAAGAACAAATCTGTAAAATAATTTTATTAAAATATAATATAAAAAAAAATAATTAGTTTTTTTTTATTTCAACACAAAAATTTTGAAGGGTGCTATACTAATTTTTCAAAAAATTTTATTATTTAGCAGAAAAGAGAAAATTTGAGAAAGATGGAATAGCGTATTTTATGACATTTTAAAGTTTAAAAAATATATAGTATTTTTTAAACGTTTTTAAAAGATTTTCAGTGGTTTTATATAATTATTAATAAGTTTTTAAAAATATTTTGCCTCAAGTAAATTTAAAATTAATTTCACAACAATTTATTAGCTTCGCATTTTTGCGAAAACATATTTCTTACAATTCTAGGTCAAATTTTTAGGTCAACTTTAAAAATAATTTTAGAGTTATCTATAATTTTTATACAAATGATTATTTATCTTAATAATTTCAAATATATTTTTTAATAATGCGATTAACTTACCCAAAAATTAAAAAATAAGGAGTAACGAATAAATCTGGAATTCCTAAGAAAAAATAGAATTTTTCTTACAAAATGTAATTTTTTCATATTTTCTTCGTAAAATTTTAATTTTTTGCAACATCTGTTTATAGGTGACTTTATCACATTTAAAAGTTTTATCTTATTTACTTCCTCTAATTCTTCATACTATTGTATTATGTTATAGTTTATTGTTTTCTCTTTAGAAAGCTTCTTATTTGCTTTCTCCGACTTGAGATCGTTCATTTCTCTTAAAGTTCTACTTATTTGAGATTTTTTGAGAATAATATCACATAAAAAAAAAGAAAAGAAGCAATTAGAGAATACTAAAAGTATAAATTAAAACTAGAAAGCATAAAACGTGTAATCAAAATGAGAGAGTTAGCGTTGGGTTAAATTATGGGTTAAGATTTTTCTTTTTCAATAATATTACTTTGACCAATAAATCAAATGGAATGAAAATAAAATAATGCTGGCACTTTGACAAGGGATTTGATCGGTGCGACATTAAAAAAAAACTTCCTATAAACATTGAACCGTAAAAATAATTGTTGTTTTACTTAACGTTATTTTTTTTTATTTTTTGTATTTTATAATAAAAATCCACATTAAAAAATATTCTCTCCCTCTTTAGATTAGTTCTTGCATAAGTATCTGACAATGAGATACTTTCTTTATTAGAGGATTAGAAAGGTACGCGATCGATTATTCCTGAAGGTCGATCGACCTTCGTAGCCGGTCACGATCGGCGCGAGTGCATCGTAAACAGACGCGGAATGCATTGTAGGACTACGCAAAGCGAAGGCATCGACGAGCACGTCGCCGAGAGCGTCCTAGTGTTGGAGAGGATCGACTCTCTCTATTTCGGGCATACGTCTCTCGATGACGTCATCTGGACGGAAATATCATATGGTTAGGGAGGTGCAGTCCGCGGGGTCTGCCTGTTGCGCGGTCCAGGTCTCGATCTTTCCCGAACTCGCACAAAAATCCTCGACCCCGTCGCGAACCATAGTCGTCTCTCTCTCTCTAAGAGAGACGCGCAAAGACGCGTCTGTCGATTGGCGCCGCGGTGCCGTCAACTCGTCGCAATTTCGACGATTGCACATCTTCGAAGTGATCTTTTTTCGGGGTAGTGGAACCGCGATCAGAAACATATCATCCCGAAACGCTCTCGCAAGAAGTGGGTCGCGCCAGATCTCGCCCACGCGAGATCCCCACTTATCGTGATCGGTCCAGGAGCTCATCAGTGGCGCATCACGCACGTCCTCGGCAGGATCGTCGTCGAGGCGAGTCCGCCAGTTTACACAAGGGACGTTACCACCCGGACGACAGTATCGCGAGAACCCTCAAAGGTGAAGCAGGAGCGAGATCATTCCTTCTTTTTCAGCGAGAGAAGACGCTGAGCAAGAATGCCCGGCGCCGGTGGCCAGCCACCGCAAAGGACCACCTTCCGACCACCATGGGTCAAAGATGGTCCGACTCCGTTGCCTATGCCCGCCGCACCCTGGACTCTCAATTCCCGTAGAGATTCTAAACCGAAGACCGAGGAAGTCCCGGCATTCACCCAAGTCACCTTAAAGGTGGGTGGAGTCAACTCTAATAGAGTTGACGATTTTTTATAATAATATTGAGATTATTTCGAGGAGAAAGACTTTTTTCTCATCCCTAAAAATAATGAAAGAATTTGATATTTTCACGGTTTTATAATAAAGTTCAAGACATTTTTTTGTAAGATAATAAAATAACTTAAAAAAATTAAGTGATGGAAGATATTTAAATCATTTAAGGAGGTACTCTGTTCTACATAATCGTTTTTTAGATCATTTTTAAGAATTCTTTTAGAAAGTTAAAGGCTACGAGCCGTTTATAACATCGAATCTTTCAAACCTTTATGATATCGATATTATTTTGAATTTGATTAAATTGCTTTAAAAAAATTTTTACGACAATAAAGATTAAAAATATGTAAAAAATCGATTTTTTTGAAAACTTTTGGAAACTTTAAAGTAGAATACACTTAAAAAGTAATGCACTATTAAATCATTTGTTTTTCTATACTTTTTATTTTCATACTTATATAGCATTTTAATATCAGTAACTGGCAATGTTAAATAACATTATATTATATTAATATTATTTAAGTTAGTAAATAAAAAAATTAGTTAAAATAAAATGTAAAGTTGCGAAAAAATACTGAAATCAATTTTGATCTACCGTTCTATTTGGTTAAAGAAGAAAACGGATTTATTGAAATGTGAATTGCACGTATCACAACTTCTTTTTGCATTGAAATCGGGTAACACTATCCGCGTCTGTTTCCGCTGAAAGCACGCATGAGTAGATGTGCGATTTCTGCAGACTTTTTCCATTCAGATATTAGGTTTCAAAGTCAGCGGACTTCGCTACTGACCGTGATATTAATAGCCGACGTGGGTGTCTTGCAACGAGTTAGTGTGATAAACATTTTGGGTGGCACAAAATTTGACGCAATTGATTGTATCCAAACAGTGCACTCTTCGACAGTTTATTCTCATTAAAAAAATTCTCTTTCATGGCAAATTTTCTTTTCAAGACTATACAATTTTATAAAATAAAATCATATCTCCAGTACAAAAAAAAAAACAGTCGACTTTTCTTAATTGTTATCCGATTTGCATTAACTCTAAAAGTTTTTGAAAACGTAAAACCTGCATAAAATTGGATTGTATCTCCTGCGTTCGAAGTATGGAAACATAATGTGCAAAAAACGTCACAGAAAAGTTGTCGCAGTTAAAAGCATCAGATACTTGCTTTTATCTTCAATTTGTCGTTTCTATATAGATTATTATAAATTTAATATAAATTAACTTGATTGTTCAAATATTTAAAAAAATTACGTTTAAAATTATTACTGTTTTATTTATTTCCCTTCAATATGGAAAGATTCATGTAAAAATTCCCCAGTGATAATTCACCAGAACAGATATAAAATTGCAGAAATGATATACAATAATACGAGTTAAAAAGAAAAACGTGACGCTTCAAATTATGATGACATGTATAGATTTCACGTGACTCGACGTCATGTTGCGATATTGTCGTATTGTTTCACGCTTAAATTACCTACAGAATCAACAAATTGAGTTTAAGAAATGTAAATTTAGATCGCAGAATCATCATTAACTATATGCATTTAATGACGTGTAATCAGATATAATTCTTTAGACTTATAAATTGCATGATAATATTTGAAATAATATGGAATTTTTGATTTGTATTTTTATATCCTTTTTCCATTTTTATTTTAATTTTACAGTTATTTTTTTCAATGGTAAACTTATAATTAACTTTATATTATTTTCAATGGTAAACTTATAATTAACTTTATTTAATTTCCAATAAAATATTTGATTATATTTTATGTTACAATATTTAGCCGTGCATTATTATAAAGTTAAAATTTATGTTTGTTGATGCATTTTATAATTGATTAAAAACAATTGAGCGGATAATTTTAAAAAACTGTAAAGTGCTTGAAGTAGTTCATGGTCATTTGTTAAAATATTCAGACACACGTGCTTGTCAATTACAATTTCGTTTTTCCGATGTGAAGGAAAGTGAGATCCGTCGCGTACGCGTGTTCACATATAAGCCTCTGGGTCACGATTATTTAAAGAACACACGTTTCTATTTCAAATGTCTTGCCAGCTGCGTCTTCCACCAGTTTCTTAACGTGCTTATATCGCGTTTTTGCCTAAATGTAATCGAAAATCGCAAAAGTGGTTGGCGGATAAGCACCTAAAACAATTTTGCAGAATAGAAAAGTTTTCGGTCAAATAATTTGTATAGGAAAAGACGACTAAGATTTCTGAAAGTTTCTAGTATCCTGAAAGTTAAACAATAATTCCACGAGATTTGTTTCAAAAGAGAGAAACTCCGCGTCGATGACGATCGAAAGTACGTGACACGTTCTCGAATGCGAAATTTAATGTGGATTATTTAAAGCCTGCGGAACAAACTCGTCGAAGCTTGCCAAGAAAATTCTACGGATCTCTCTCTTTTTCTCTCTGTTTGTTTCCGTTTTAGATGTTCAAGAGAGAAAAAATGGAGAACGATGATCTTTTTCTATTTTTTACCGTGATTACTTTTCATGAGACCTGCAACGATTATTTCGTATTCTTTTCGACGTGACGCGTCGTACAAAGAAAAAAAGACAAAAATATAAAACACGTGGAATATTTATTTACGACGTGAGAGTGTGACAAAAACATAAAATGTAAACTGAATAAAAATGACAGTGTTAAAAACTGCAAAAATTAATCGCAAAACTCGTTTTGTTGAATAAAATAATTTGATGGGATAAATAGATCAAAAATAATGTTTTAATTAATATATTAATAAATGTATTATTACAAAAATATTTTTAAACTAAGAAACATTACATTAATGTAAATAGAAATCTATAATAAATTACAATAAATTATTGATTAATAATTTAATTTAATAAAATATAAATTTCTTATATTGTATTTTGATATTCCTGTGCAATAATGCATCTTCTCAAAAAGTAGTCTTAAAAAAGCGAATAAATCTAAGAATGTTTGACATTTGAATGCATATCAATTTAGAAAAATATATTATATAATAATTATATACGTATTAGTAACAAACATTTTATTAACATTGACTGAAGTAAATAAAGATTCTGTATTAACTTAATAGACTAAAATTAACAAAATAAAATTAATGTATTGTTTGTCTTATGTAAATATTATAAACAAGTAAATGTTCCTTGATTTTAATTTAACAGAGTGTGCCGAAACCTGCGGAACCGGCGGCGGCTTCAACAGATGCACAACCGCGTAAACAAAGTAAAATCACAATAATACCAAAACAGCCAAATAATGAGAAGATTCCGACTGGCAGACCTGTGCCGGCGAAGCTACGCGAGAATGGACGACAGGAGCCAAATTCGAGGCCACAGCTCGAGCGACAAATTCGTATCGAGAGATCTCGATCACGAGGTGACAGTATACCACTTTCGAAGAGTGAGAGCACCACAGGTACGAGGCAATAATCGCCATTCTTTCTCTTAAATTCGACTATCTATAATGTTAAATGGTTAACCCTTTCTAGCATTAAATGATCATTAAACTTTATCTACATTGTAAATTTTTTGTTAAGATACAAATTATTTTTTAATGAAGAATTGTCTAATTTATCTGTCAAATTGTAGAATTAAAATGTAAAAAAATACAGAATTTTTAGTAATCTTATGAGCAAATAAAGTATAAAGGAATAAAATTGAGATATTTTCACATTTACTTTATAAATCTATAAATAAGACATCAATGGCATAAATAGAAATTGAAATGTAAAAATGTAAATTTATGAAAATCACATATGCTGAAAAGGTTAAACAATCTTTAACAAGAAACATCTGCAGAATGCTCTTTTTCAATTTTGATAAAACTTGATATTTTTGTTGACAAAATAGACAAAAAAGTTGAAAAAAAAAACAAAAAAATATGTATTTTTTTCTTATTGATTAACAATTAGCGTGAATAAAGAAAGTTTGAAATGGATTATACTGAAACATTGTTTTTTCTTATCTTACTCTGGTTAGAATTAAATCGCTTTGTGTGGCAAAAATAACATTTACATTTCATTTCTATAGTTTTTTTTTAAATTATAATAAAACCGCTTGTTATCTTGATGTTACATCTGATTTTTACACTTTCTTATTATCAATGACATTTTTAATCGTTAAGAAAAGACTTCTTTTATGTCAAGGTGCGCCGACTTTGTCGAAAAGTTCATCGCGAGCGAACGTTCCGCCGCCACCACCTCCACGACCGCCGCCTCCACCTCCCAGCAGGACGATTCTCAAAGATCTGGAACCTCTGAACGAGGACCAAATGCAGAAGCTGGAAATATTGAAATCTAGACCGAGAAAACGGCCAGACTGGGCCTGCATGATGAAGGAGGTCGAGAGTGGGAAAACGCTCAGGCACGTCAAGTGCAATGACCGGAGCGCGCCCTTGATAGAAAGGGTGAACAAGGTCACGGCCGACCCTGCAGGTGATCATCGAACTCTCTTCGATCCCCGTCGGGTGCCCATCGGGCCGAGCCTACCCCCCCTTGTAGTGTCCCCTCCTTAAGGAGAGAAGTCGCGGAGAGAGATTTTGCTTTCTTTCGCAGAATTTTTCCTCCCTTCGATTCTTTTTTTCACGTGTGATCCTTTGAAGAAACATTCACGATGTAGTGCAATTGATTACATAATGAACAGAAATTTCGATTAACGCAACACTTTCTTTTTGTGCAGCGCTTGAAGCGCAAATAGCTAGCAGTATTGTTCTGTCGCTATCGTTCTGCTATTGCTCAAACAACTCCCCCCCCCCTTTATCTCGCTCTATATATATATATATATATATATATATACAGACCCGTTTATCCATTGTTAAACCGTTGGACTAATTAAACTGTTAATTGATTATTGTTGAATTAACTGATGTCTTCGTGTTTCTCAATGGGTTTATCAACATCCCGCCTTCTCTCCTCTCCTTTGTCGCACGAGCGAGCGGCGATCAGGATCTCTCATTCCTCGAATCGACATTCTTGACGGGAAACGAGAACGTCATTCGACGGCGGGTGACTCGTCATGCTTGTTAAAAATACAAAGCGTTAAGTATCAATTATTGGAGTTCCTGACAAAATTTTGTCAAACATACAAAAACACACATACGTCACTATATTGAACAAAGCATCATTTATATTGACGGCGTCATCTTTCAGTGACAAATACGAATTTTGAAAGATATAAAAAATTGTTATTAATTTTGCAATCATAAAGATTAGCTTTTCGGCGATAAAGTTTCCAAACGTCTCTTGTCTAGTTCTTAAAGTTCCTAAAGTCTCTTGTTAAGTGTTGAAAATTCTAATTAAAGTCTAGTTAACATTAGATGAGAAACGTAATTTTGTTTACTTATGACAATATAATTATAACTTGTTACAAAGAAAATCGCTATTTTTATCCTTATTAAAAAACGGTATTTAAAAATATTTATAATTACACAGAATATCTTTTATATGAAATGCTACAGAACTATTATATTAATGTATTATTTAAATAATATTTTAAATATTTACTAAAAAAAAATATAAAATAAATATTTTTTAAAGTCATTTATGAATGAAATTCGATTAAAATTATTAATGTAAATACCAAATTTTTACAGTTTCTCTCTAATTCCAAATTTGCATAAGTGTAAACAGTAATACATTAAAATGAATTAAATCTTTGTCAAAGTAAACTTAAAATTAAAAAAAATGTACTTTTTTCTAATTTTTAATAGCTATATAATTATATCCTGATTATAAAAGACTTTTTTTTATGAAAAGATGACAGATCAGAGTTAAATTCAGAACACTTCGTATTCTTTATTAAATTGACCAAATAAAATAGCAATATCTGTATGTGTTTTTATTTTGATTGATTATTTTTATCTGCTAGGTAAAGCCCACTTCGTGTTTGAGTCTGAAAAATCGAATATGCACAATCAGCTACTGAAACAGATCCAGCAAGGCGTGAAGCTTAAAACCGTGAAAACCAACGATCGCTCAAGGCCTGTATTGGAAGGATTGAGAAAATTCCGGCGACAATTAACGATTGAGGAGCAAATACAAAAGGCCGAGGAAGCGCCTGTGGACGTCGATATTCAAGATGAAATGGATGACATAGATGCCGTTAGAGATGATTTACAAAGCACCAAGCAAATGTTAGCGCTAGAGTTGAGGAATAAAGAAGCCTTAGAGCGTGACAACAAACGATTGCAGGTGACAATTGAACAAGATAGTTCCTTAATGTTTATATATTTTTATATATATATTATGCCTATTATACAATTAATTCGTCTCTTTTATCTTTTCTAAGATAATTTTTTATTATAAAAACAGAAAACGGGAGTATTAATTTTTTAAGAGATAAAAGCAACAATATTGCAATGTCTTGCTGAACATTTAAATTAATTTTATACATAGGCGAGAATTTTGAATCTTGAAGCAGAAGTGGAACGTGTAAAACTTCAAAAGAACGCTCAAGAAAGTAAGCAGCAAGACGAGAAACTGACGGAGTGCTTGAAGCAAGAAGTGCAACAAGCGAGAAAGGACGCCGAAAGGGCCGAGAAAGAATACACTACCGCTGCCGAGGAAAGAGATAAAGCTAAAAGTGAATTGGAAGAAATGAAAAAAATGTATGCCGCGCTAGAAAAGCGCATGAAAGCCGGTATGTAATTAAGAGTGTTTGTTTTGCTATATCTAGTAATTTCTTAACGATTTTTAAATATGTTTTTATTTGAGTTAATTAGCTTTAATTTTATCACTATCTTAAGCAAACCGCAAATATTAATTTTAAAACATTAAAATTGTATTTTTTAATATATCTTTATTATAAGCCGCTTATACTAACTTTGCTTAACTCTGCTTTATTGAATTTGCTTCGCTTGCTAGAAGAAGAGCCTACGTCTGATAATGCTGTGCCGATAGTAGAAGTGGTTTCGGAAGGTGTCTACCGGTACAATATTGCAGGTATGGCACTGGCCGGTTGTCCAAGTGCGAAAGATGTAGCGAAAATTGCGACACAGAAGAGTATAGACAAACAGGATGTTTACGAGAGTGAAGAAGAAGAGGAAAGCACAGAGGAGGAGGATGAAGATGAAGATCCTAAAGCCGGGGCTGAGAAACGTGCGCAAAGGGAAATCAAGCTGCTTATTTCAAAAATAAAAAATTTCAAGTGAGTGTGATGATAAAATGTTGATATTTGTATCATCAAGTAGCTGTATTGATAAAACATATAAACAATGCATAAAAATGTATATAATAAATTATGTAAACAGGGATAAGGCTGTAAACGCCAGAAAAGAGAGGTACGCGTTGAAGGAGCAAATTAAACAGCAGCAGAAATTATTAAAGGAAGAGAATAAAACATACAAGCGGCTGCAGAAACAAGTGGATAAGATGGCAAAGCTGATGGCAGAAACCGATGAGGAAGAGGAAGAAGAAGAGGAGGAGGAAGAAGAGAAGGAAGAGACAGAATCTGAAGAAGAGTCCGAATCTGAGGAATCGGAGGAAGATGAATCCGAAGCTGACGACGAAGAGGAGTCTACAGAGAAGCGTAAAAACAATTTACAAGTGAGTTGTTATTGCAGTTCGTGGCGAAGATTATTCAAGTTGAAAACATAAATTTGAATTCCACTTCTGAGCGTTTGTCTTTTCAGAAATGTGTGAAGAAACACGAAGGACGACTGGCAACCTTGAAGAAAGGCAATTATCTGCTTAAGGCGCAGGTAGACAGAATTAAGGACGATCTGGTGAAGCATCGGGAGAAGAGTATCGCCCTGCAGGAGGATCTTGATTCCGTCTTAGCGGAACTAGGTTAGATTAGTGTAAGCGGGAAATATTTCCAAATGCAAAAGATTGTATACGTACCACGTATTGAAATATAGACAATTGTATATTACGAGAAAAATAATTACATGCACATACACACATTTATACACTCACTCGAAAGACTTTCACAGAGAACAGTGATGCACTTGTCTGGAATGGATGTCTGGAAATATATTATCTTTTTTTGTCGCAATATTCTATATTACACTGTGTCCTATTGCACGAAGCATTTATAGCAGAGACAATTAACTGCGTGACATTTGATAGCCCCTATTATTTGAGCCGCTTAGAAACCAAACTGGATTAACTCCACATTTTGCAAGTTTTCAAATTTTAGTATACGCTTGGTGTTCAACTTTTCATAAATAAAATAAATTCATGAAGTTTTGTTTCATAGAATTAATAGTTTAGCTTTTAAGCGGCTTATTTAACGCTAAATACGACTCTTTTAACTCATAATAATTTCATTTCTAACATTTTTTTAATAAATCATGATAATTACAATTATTTTGCACGATATTTACATTATATTAGTGCAATCACATTACATAAATCGTAACTCCAATATCACATTTAGCGTTAAATGTAAAATATTAACGCGCACTGGCTAAATATTTATTATCTACCGAAGACTGATAATCTGAAAGTTTGCGCAGAGTTTCGTGAAATAGGATCAACGTATTAACAAGATTCGAATTTTTTAACTGGCAAACAATATTTTTAACAGATATAACAGAAAGAGAACGCTTATATCTACACACGCACTTACACAACATCACGTGAGCAACTTCCGGCTTTTGACTTGTCATGAAATATCGGACGTTTGCTATACCATGAAATATTAATTAGATATTGCAAAATAATTTATTTCCCACTCAATATCTAAGATAAAGACTCCGTTTTTATATGATATATTTTCGACGAATAATTCTTTATCGGTGATAATGAACAAAAACTGTCACAAAGGAGCAAATAAGGCTCGATATCTTATTATTAAGATAAAAGTTCTATATTTTACGACGGAGAAACTATGATTCATCTTTTGCTATCAAGATGTAAGATATTTTTTAATAAATTACTATTAATAGAACAGAACTTTGTGATTAATTATTAATAAAACGATTGATTTTGGTGAAATAAACGATCTAGGAATTCAACATAATAAACATTGAAGACAAAAAACTTATCATTTATATTTTCCGCACTTCAATGATCAATCATGATCGTCAAAACAGAATTAAATTTATTTTTCTCGATTTACGATACGTGCTACACGATTTATATAAATATATTTAACATACGTTGTTACAATTTCTATGAGTGCAGCGGATGAATTATCAACGGCACATTGTGCATACGCAATGTAAGATGAATTGTGTTAATTCAGCTGTTGAGTTAATACTTGATTCGGGCATGTGCGATAGATTCTACTATGAATTGTTTAAAAACAATTTTGTTTTGGAACTATTTATAGCAAGATTTATCGCACATGCCTGGATCAGTATTAACTCAACAGCTACATTGTGATATAATTCATCTTAGGGTGCATTGCAATTAATAATCTATACTTATAATGCATATGACACCCATATACAATTATTTTTGTAATAATTTTTATTAAATAAGAACAAAAAACAAAAATTTAAAATAATAAATACGTGTTAATCATATTAAATATGTATCGATATTGCTTGCGTGTCAAGCAAGCGTTGTATTATACGTGCTTAATAACTTACTGAATGATAATTAATATATTATACAAACGTGATATTTTTGGTGTGTAATTAGATCATCTCAAATTGTTTTTAACATTTGACATTATTTTTAACTACGATATATCGACGGCATCAATAAAAAAATATTGCATTTTTAAACACTAAAACATTCATCAGTCAATTGAACAAAACAAATTAGAAGTGCAAACTATAAGTTATTTGATTCTAATGAGAAAAAAATATAAAGACAAAATTGTTCAAAAAGGGATAAAATTTTATATTATATATTAATTTAAGTATCATTTTGAACTCGTGTAATTTTATTTTTAAGAAGAGGACTATTGTAGATAAATTATTTTTTTTAAAAGATATGGTTATTAGAACTTTTATATTTATTAGTGCCATTGATACGTTACGAGATCTGTTTTTAAATAAATGGACATGTATTCCAGAAAAAGCAAAAAATTGCAATGTAAATTTAATATTATCTTTGAATACTTACTATTTGAAGACTGTCCTCGCTTCCTGAACATTCCTTTATAGAGAATATATCTTTCATACCTATTTATTGTTTACTTCAGTTTCAGTTTATTTTAAAACTTTGTGTATTTTGCTTATTTTTAGTTGAATTAAATAGAAAATAAAAACATGTAGTATCAAAATTATAATAAATGGTCCTATAAAGATTAAAGAGATCAAAAAATAATCGGAAGTGCAAAAGAATTGCAATCTCTTGCAGATAGTTCTTTTTACATAGATTTTATACACGTGTTTAATTTTAATAAAATGAGAATAAAATAACTTGACTCTTTATTAAAATTAAAATATTCTTTATGTAAGTGTGTGTGAAAGACAAAGAGATATAAGAAAATAATTTTAACAAAATCATATTATTGTTGGATATAAAGTATATAATAATTGTAAAAAAAAAGAAATATATAAGTCAAAGTTATATGGCTATTGTAGATCCAAGACACTGCAAATCACACAAACTTTATATGCTCTGTACTTTTATTATATTAAAAGATGCCTTTTTTATTTCAGAAAAAATTTTATCTACGTTGGATAAGTTCGATAGTGAGTAAATTCCTGTATACACCATCGGAAATGGACATTGACATAACGAACACTTACTTTGTCTTTTATTGCTTCCCACATTATAAATTGTACAATAATAATTCAATGACTCTAGTAATTTTATTGCTACCAATAATTAAATAACAAGAATACGGATTTCTTTCATAAATCTACTTGTTTATTTGCAAAAAATAAAAGCAAAATATAATTGCACAACAAGAAAGCGAGCGAGATAAATGTCATCGAATAAAACGTTAAAGGAGCTCGAGTGTCAAAAAATAGAAAAAAAATAATTTTTTAACTCTGAAAACAAAAAGTTAAATTTTTTCTGGAATTACTTAATCGTGAAATTTATCAATTTAGACCAAGCTTGTATAATTGGTGGCATATCGTACAAAATTGCGAGCAACTATGGATATCAATTGCGCCACGAATAGCAGATTTTGTATTTTTTATTTGATAAACATGCTATAAGAGAAGAGCGGAGGGACAGAAAAGAGAATGGGTCTGTTTTCCGTTCGACATAACTAACAAATTAAACAATACAAATACTTATTGTCCGTGATTTAAGGAGTAAGAAAAAAAAAGAAGAAAAACGGAGAATAAGGAAACAGCAACATTCCGCGAGAAATCTGTAGAATAGCAGTCTTCTTCTTTGAATGAGACTTTGTGAGAAAAAACTGTCATGAAATATTTTCAACGCACCTCGAATACCCCTCAGTCTGCAAGAAGAGTGATGTAGAAGATAATATCTCTGAATATTTCAACGAAGTAAGTTCAAACTTTTATCAAATAAGAGAATGGATTCTTCTAAAGTAATGCAAAGCATATCTTTGCTTAACTCCAGTCCAGTTCGAACATTTTTTTGCTAAATTCGGTGCATTTCATGATAATAAACTCGTCGATTGTTGTCTCGCGATTCTTAGTGCAAAGTATCGAGTTATTTCTGATGGAAATATTTTTCTAAAAATATAACGAAATTTTGCTGAAATGTATTTGAAAATTTCTCTTAATTGACCCCATTAATTAATTTCATAAATATTTCAGCAATTTTTCATTAAAAAGTAACAATTTTCAGTTTAATTTAGTAAATTTCATAATGATAATTATTTAAAAACTCTTTTATTACTTTTTAGCAGTATATTTTAACTTTCCTTATATTTCATAATATTACATTAAATTTTCATACGAAAAATTATGAATTATTTTGAAATATATTCAGTAATTTTTCAAAAACTTTTATTTTACTTTTCATTGATTTCATAGTACTTTCAGCAAAATATTTTCATCAGGGATTGCATAGAATCATTATGTGAAACAGTGAAAACATATATAAATTTATAATCAATATATAAAAACAAACGTTTTGACTTTACATTGGATTTTTTAGTTTGCAACTGATTAATTTGTTAAAACTAAAGAGGACTCAATGTAAGATAGTAGATCGTATAAGTTTCTTTTTATACATTGATTAGAAATTTATGTGTTTTGACTGTTTCACACATATTGATTATCAATCTACATAAATGTTTTGACGCACTGATATCAGCGTATTCAGCTCTATCTCACTTTTCCTTTCCTTATCTTGATTTTATTATCAAAAACATTCTTCAATATATTAATTATCTATTATAATCATCTACAATATATCTATTTAATATGCGACATATTTAGATTTTCATGTTTCTTCATGTAATTGACAATAACTATAAAATATCTGAATATCTCAAGGCTATATAATTAATAATATCTCTATGGCTTCTTCTGAGTGGATTAATGTATATCAATATTCTAAGTTTCGGATATTCCAAGTTTATATTAGATATCTCAAAGATATTATAATATCCTGTCAAGATATCTTCAGGCCATCTTGCAGATCGCGTTTGCTTTTAGTTTATAATTTAATGTTTTAATAACCTCACAAATATATTTTGTTAAAAACATACTGTTAAAAATATTATTAATTTATTAGAATATATTTTATTAAATTTCTCTTTTTTTCGTTATGTTGGGTTTCTGATAAAAAACAAAAAATGTATGTAGAGAAAAAAAAAATTGAAAAAAATTATAAATAATAATTTGTAGAGAAAATTAAGTTAAATAGATATCTCATCAAATTAAAGACGTTAAGGAAAGTACGATAAACGTGTAAACCTATTAACTTACCAATTTTATTATTCTATAATGCTAATTTCTGTATTACAGTTGCATGTAATATTTGCAAAATATCTTAAGATATCATTGGAAATTATAAGAATTGCGCAGTATAACGGGAGAAAATTGATGTCTCTTAAAAGTCAAAATTATATTTGAAAAATAGAGATCGCTATCTTAGATTACATATATCATACAGGGTAGGGCAAAGAAATGGGCGATTTTAAAAATCGTTTTACTCCTACTACTATTTTCTGTGTTCAGAAATCTTACTTCGGGTGATATTCTTTGTCTTTTATTGTCTATTATCTTTGTCTATTATCATCCGGAGTAGAATTTCTGAACGCAGTTAATTGTGGTGGAGTGAAACAATTTTAAAAATTGCCCGTTTCTTTGCCCCACCTTGTACAATGTGTTTCAGAATGAAAATTTTTAATCTTATCTTAAATTTCACTAAAAAAAGTCGAATTATATAAAAAAAAAGTACGCGACGTTTGTATATACTTTTGATATAAAATAAAAGTAGTGATAATATTTGTTTACAGGTTTTTCGAAATAACCTAATACAAATAACGTGGTCATAGTGTGATCGCAATAAATTCATTGAACCATAAACAAAATAGACAATTTTACAAGATACACACACACATGATGGCACTTGAATCGATAATATTATTATTATTTTATTATTTCCACATAAAATCATATATACTACCGCATAAGTTTTGTAACACTCTATAAATTCTAGATAAGGCTGAATATTATTATTTTATTGAAAATACACAGGATTAATTTATGAATGTACACTATTTAGATAAAATTTAAGATTGAAATAATAATAAAATTATGTACATATTTTACATTAGAAAAAAATTACTGAAATAACTGTCTTTTTGCAGAATAACAAGCTATATTTTTAAATTAATTGTCTGATACAATATTAAAACAAAAATATCTAAAAATTAATTATCACAATCTCTGGATTGTATCAGGAGATCAAATTAAGAATTTTCTAAACAAATATTTAAACTTCATTTGTATTGTAATTAACATTATAAATACATGTAAGTTTTGTATTTAATCATAAATTTTATCATAAGTTTATGTCAATATTTTTATAATAAAATTTTATTCGTGATACAAGATTAATGTATTTAAAAACTGTGAGATGTTTCAAACTTTTGAACAGTAGTAAATATATAATACTCAAAAGAGAACAAAAAAAAAAAGAAAGAACAAGAGACAATTGAAATGTGCATTTATATAAAAAGCAATATATATATATATACACATCGGTTCACATAAAACTGATCTATAAGGTCAAAAATTAAAAATCGAAACATGTACATATGTTCGACACGTAGAGATCATCTAATTAATGTTATGAGATAATATAGTCGATTGTGTTTGTGTGTGTCTATGTGTGTGATTGGCGCGCATTTGTGATAAGTATGTATACTATACACGTATATATGATCGCAGATAGTTTTCTCATTTTCGCGATAATACTCTCTCTATCGAGATTTGTTCGGACATTTGTGAGTAAATACTTATTTCATAACCTATATGAAAAATACTGTTTCTGATAAACAATAATCTGACAAAGTTTCTACATATCATTTTCTTTTATACACTGCTGTAAATTTCAGGAATTTCCACCTTTTCCAAGTCATAAAATAAAAACAAAAGAAAAATTAAAATAATGTGTTGAATTTTTTGTGAAATATTCAAAATGTGAAATAAAAAGCATCAAAAATTGTTCTTTTACATATTCCTGCGTTGCTAAGTTCGTGAGATTTGATCAAACAAAAGATTTAATGACGTAAATAAATTATTAATGTCAAGTACAATTTGTTGTTGAAAATTTTTTAATTTAATCAACAAATATAGATAACTATTAATAGAAAGAAAAGAACGTAAGCGCAAATAGAAAAGAAATTTTTCTAATTAAAATTGCATTCAGTTTCATCAAAAGTGAGTGTTATCCGAATAGAGATCCTATGCTAGTCAGGTCCTTCCTATTACATCGTAAAGATGCGTGTAGTAATGATGCTTATATAGATTCTCTCATGTAAAATAAATAAATCACTGATCGCACAATGCACTGTTATGATTCCAACTGTTCGTGAATGATATCTTTACGCGACGATAACTGGTTGCACTGAATAACAGTTTCTGTGTGAATGCTGCATTTTTTTCATGTATCCATGAATTCAGTTTTGATCTTTTTTTCCTCTACCAACTTAACGTCCGTTACATGTAGGTTGTGCTCACTCTTAGCAGCAAATTTAATAATAGCTTGTGTTGACACTTGAGTTGTGTGTCGCAGGTCCAAACGTTTTAATGTCTTGCATTTTGCTAGATGCTCTAGTGTCGTTTCGGTAAGTAACCTACTGTTTGCTAGGTTCAGCGAGGTCAAATTCGGTAGTGATGCTAATTGTGCCACACCAGTGTCAGTAAGTCTGCCGATTGAAGAGAGATCCAGAGACTTGAGATCTAACAGATGTTGAACTATGTACTTCACTCCTCGATCTGTAAGATCGCATCCAGCCAAAAGCAGATTTTTTAGGTGTTTTAAACGTGATGTCTTATCGATAAGACCCGGTCTCGAGTCCGTCGGTGAATCTAAAACTTCCTGGAGAGCAGCATCATCCAGGGAGGTAACATAACTCAAGTCCAGTGTTTCTAGAGGTGGACAACTGCAGCTTTTCAAGGCACGAACGTCGTTCCATGCGCAGCCTTGAAGGGATAACGTTCGCAATTGCGGTAGTCTATTCAGCAGCCAAGATAAATGTGATTTGCTAATATTAGTCCAATCCAGCGAAAGACTTTCAGGTTGTCGTCGAGCGATGGCATGAAAATGTACGGCCTTGAGGCTATAATGTGACATGTCGAGTTTTTTCCATAGAACAGGATCTGTATAGTATCTTGCCCAGGTACGGCAAACCAAGGCACAATTAAGCAGATCCTTCATATTAAGAAATCGGAATATTGCAAGCATCACCGTCTTGTTATGCACCAGATTCGGCTCGTCGCTGTCTATTTCTTGAACAGGCGGTGGAGGCGGTGGAGGCGCCGGTCTGACCACTACATGTGGCCTTACTAAAGATCTACTGCTTGAGGCGATCAACTGCATAGCTAGTTGGGTACGTTGTTGAGTCATTCTCTGCTCACCTTCGGCTGGTTCCCCAGGTGAATCATTCCATGTCTGAAGAAAATAAACAATAAGAATTTTACAAAGCGGCGTTTGATATAATGTGGTATAAAGCGCTACTCTCCGATATAATTACATGGAAAAGCGTAAAAATTATTCTACTGAAGATGTAAGACTTACACCTTTTTATAAAGAAATTGATTTACCTCATTAGGATCCGGCCTTATTCGTTTACTTGGTGTCATAGCCCGTTCGGAATCTGTGGTAGGTGCTGAGGAAGCAGCGCTGGATACTGATAATTTTCGTGCACGAGCCTTTGGTTGACGCGGTCGATAATCTAAGTTTCGACCTTGTTTACAGCAACTCGGACATTCCCAACTATTCGGTAGATCGTCATTCACTGTTATCTCTTTGGGATCCAAACCTATACATTTCGGATGCACGATGTCGTAGCATATCATGCATTCTATTAAACCAGATGGTGTTGTAGGATTTTTACCTGCAATTATTTAAATATTTGTACAATCATGATCACTACATTGATTTATCTTTTTTATATTGAGTAATCAAAGATAGCATAGTTTGTATCATTGACATAAAAATATAATTATAAAAAAATTATAAATAAATTTATGTTTAAATTTACTTAAATATATGACTAATATTGCATTCTCTTTCACAACGCATCAGTTTTTACTAATTATTCTCGTTTCTCATTATATTATTATATTCTTTCTTCGTTTTTCATTATATTAAATTGTTTAATTAATTATAAATAATAAGTACCCAATAACGGCCCGGGTGATTGTCCCCAGCCGTCCAACTGACAAACTTTACAAGATGATGTAAAGGGCAGCATAGGTCTTAGGCACTGGCGCATCAGGCACGTTTGTTTAGCACGACCACTACCTCCAAATTTAACCATATCTTGACAGTACACACATTCTCGACAATCCTGCCTGGTGCATGCCTCACATTTTTTACATCTGGTGCGTCTTCTGCGTGGAAATGCTCTCTCAGATTTCTCCGAGTGATGCCTCTGCATCTTTACATAACCTTTTCTGGTCACTCTTATTCTTTCCTGCAAAGAACAGAATAAAGAGATTTAAGAATACTAAAACTTGTTTATCTTGATTGCAGTAAATGATAAATACCCTGTCAACAATAGTCAAAGGTGGAGGTGCAGGTAATACAGGATTTCCAGTCACAGCTGTATCAGGACTATCATGTCTGTGCTGATCCACTAAACATCGAACGTCATGAATAAGAGCAACCGGATCGCGTATCAGGTCCGGCACGTTCTTCTTGGTAGATGGCAGTGAATGTAGATACATGACAATCGCTTTTAAGCCATGCAACTCAAATGGCGTGATATGCACATGTTGATGTTGCTTTGGGATAGAATGCTGCCGCTGTGATTCAGATATTTCCAAATGACTTCTACCCAAAAGCACATGTACATATCTTTCGAGAACGTACCTGTAAAAATACGTAAATATTGCTGTATGAAAAAAAACTATGTATGTTATATACATTTAATAACAATATATAAAATGGAAAGTAAATATAAATTATATTAATGATTTTTACCACAACATTTCAGTGAAGAATGGATATCGAAATTTCTGCGGCACTTTTGTGTGCTCTTCCACTTGTGCCACTTTCAATTGTTTTTCTATACCAAAGCTGTGGAGAAAATTTCCTCCAAAAACTAAAGAATCCTGAGGAGTGTACACAGCATGTATCCAACCAGTTGGTATGAACAACGTCATGCCAGCAGTTAAACTTATTCTTCCGCATCTATCTACCATATCACCAAAAAATACATCTGATTGTTTGCCACTCAACACCCATTCTTGATAAAGTGTTAAATTTTTTTCAGTGGGTGGTATTAGCCAAAAAATTTTGCCACCACGCAGAATGTGATACCACACACTCGTACCGCCAAAATCCACATGAAAGTCAGTATAACAACCTTTCACTGACATTAAGCAATATTTCTGTACTTTTGGATACATCATGTCTTCCAGGAGATTTGTAGCTTCTACTTGAGAGTCTTTCAGATGTCTTGGCCATACTACATCTACCCAATCAACTTGTCGTACCATTGCAGGTGATTGTACATAATTTTCTAACTTAGTATGACTAAACTCTAAGGAAATCACATTTAAGAGGCGCTCCTTGTTAGGGTCCTCATAATACTTCTGCCATTCCTTCATTGTCATATCTTCATTTTTCTGAGTATTAACATCCATAACATCTAGTATTCTTTTAGAACCTAGTATATAAATATTATTATTATCTAGCAATCCATATTTCTGTTTCTTATTTAAAACTTACCAACGCAAGTTCTAACATCATTGACGGAAAAGTTGGAGCTCGGCACTCGTAGACCCAATCCTGATTTCTCCTTGAACAGCAATGGTATCTGCAGACCATACTTTTGTAGATATGCTAGATTTAGTTCTGATCCTGTCATTTCGCAAAAAAGGCCGCTGAACTTGCTCAAGTCATATCTGTCACACTCGATTTTTTCGTCAAGCTGGAAGGTCCTACGACCTTCGATCTCCTCGTCGCCTATAGTCCAGTCGTCTGTATACAGCTTTCTGGTTCTCTCACGCTGCAAACAAAATTACACACTATGAGAAGCACATCGATAAGATCTCTCGAATTAATTAATATAATGCAACATCGCCGACGATATCAACGTTGCAATAATGCCGACATCGAATTCGCGCGCGTTCTTTGTTTACCAATTGGCGCCTCTTCGGCAGAGGAGCGGATTCATCGGCCATTGCGAACACGCTGTCAGAAACGTATCACCGAAATTTCATCGAATATTTGGTGAAACGTTGTCACGACAAAGGCAAACGAGTATATATTCTTCACCAGTTTGATCAAGCGTTTTTTATTATTTCTGAGTTAAATGCGATACTTGGAGAATATCGCGTAAGCACGTTCTTCACTCGTACATCCAGCGAGATGACCACGCCATGTTACTACCGGCCAATAGTACCAATAGGCGTGTGTGCGCAGCAGTTGGCAAAACTTCTGCAGTGATTACTTGTGCTTCATGTGCTTTTCAAACGCATGTATCATATATATATATCGCATTGCCTTGGAAAAATATTTCAATGACAGATATTGAGGTATGAATTATTAAATTGCAATTAAAATTTTCTTGTATATTAGTATGCAAGTTTGCCATAGTCATTACTTTGTGTTAATAGGTCGGTTCTTTCTAATTGTGCTATGCACTAACTATGCTACACTTTTTATCTTTAACTTAACTTTAACTTAATTCTTAAAAGGAGAAAAAGATTAAAAATTCTTTTTCTTGACGCAAGAAATAATTATTTTATGCTCTAGAGAGAAACAAAAGAATTCAAGAGGTTAAAGAACACATCTAATACATTCGAAGAGTGCGCATGCGTCGTAGATTCACAACGTGTCATTAGAGAACCGCGTCTACATTTTGGCATCATTCCATGTCTAATCGCGATTGAACATGGCTTCGCAATTTTCGTATTTTTTTTGTCAAAAGTGAATATTGTGTGTAAGTACGTGACGAAAGTGCCGAACAAAGTATTGTGGCAATTATATTATGTTAATTAATTTGAACGAAGATAATTGATTGTGTTTTTCAAACAAGTGAATGAGTAAAAAATTTTTTGCATGACAAACGGGTCGAATAGAAAAAAATTAGTGATTTTTTGGCTAGATCTAATAAATTTGAAAGGCACCACTGCATAACCGTTATTTTATTTCATATCGTATTGTGTGTAATTTGGCTGCAACGTAATTGTCTTGCGATTTTCATATATTTTTCTCGTCAAAAGTGAATATTGTGTGTATTATAAGTATTAGTCGGGAATGCCCTAGTATTATATTCGTGTCTTGTGTTAAGGGGATGCTGGAGTTACCGGCCGGACATTATATTTTTTCGAACAAGAATATCTTTTTATTGGTTGCATAGAATTGTAAATCCTTTTGCAGGAGTAAAGTGTACATAAAAACGGAATTCGGGCTGCTCGACTTTATTTGGAAAAAAAAGAATTAATAACAAAATTTGTTTCTATTCATTAATTTCTGTTCTGCTCTTAGGATAACATATTGTATAGAGCTATCTATTTTCGTTTTTTATAAAAGTTTAACAGTTTTAAGACGCTGAATAAGAGCAGCCCGAATTGCGGACTGCAGAATAGAATGTTATGGAACCATTAAAATTGGGCTGAAAAGTCTAATGTAAAAAATATTCTTGTCCGACTATTTTTACATACGTGTGCGTCCAATATCGGTATAACAGATGAAAAATAACAGAAGATTAGTTCCAAGATAATATCAGAGAGGCGCTATACAATAATATGCGAATATATACACGCACCACACATACGCATACACAATACATTCATACTTAGATTATGACTTATGCCGATAATATCACTCTAATTTTAGTTCCATCGAAATGATGGCGCTTTCGCGTCGGAGTTCGTCAGGCACTCCAGCATCCTCTTAATTAGGATGAATGTACTTATTGTTGTCGAGTTTCTACCGTTTGAATGAGTGAACAAGCAACTATCTTTCGTAGCGCGAATAGATCGAACAAACGGAAATTAGTGCTTCTGCTCAGTGGGTGAGTAAATTTATTTACTTATTATCAAAAATTAAAATTAATGATAAATGTTTAAAAAAGGGAGCATGAATTTTTCAAAACTTCGGCTTTTTAATTTAAATATTTGCCAATCTATTGCTTTTTTATATTCCAATACTTTATTTATTTGTAATGTTGCTATTCTATTATTTTAATTTTTTAATATAATTTATATTTAAATTATTAAATTTGTATTTGTATGTTTGAACCATAATTGAATCATTCTAACACAGATAGCACAAAACATCCTGGGGACATTCTGGATATTCTCAGGATATCCTGAGGCAATTCTCAGGACATCGGAATATCCCTAAGATGTTCCCAGGATGTTTTGTGCTAAAATATCACGGATAAACGGATTAAGTTTATGCGCTTTGTAATTGTAAAATAATTGTAAAGTTTATTGAGAGAAAGAGAGAGAGAAAGAGAGAGGCTGATCAGTTATTCCGACAGTATTCTCGAATTGTTATTACTTTATTAGGCATATTTGATACACGTATATTTCAATGCATTCGTTAAAAGCGCTAACAAAAATCATTCTCAATTTTTTTCGCGGATTTCGTCGAGTTAATTTTCGACATTTCTTTACATCTAGATGTCACTAGTATTACTGCACGAACCGGATTTTTCACGCATGGTTGAACGCAATACCAGTAAGGTATACAATCTGAATAAAAAAGGGTACCACTTAATCCTTTGTTTCTAAAAATTTTTAGAACATTAATAAAGAATATTGTGTATCATTCGATATTCTTATGATTTCTATACATAGAATTATTATGATTTGCCGTGTCTCTCATATATAAGCTCTTTTATTTGCGAAATTTGTGCAAACATTTGCACCTATAGCTTATATACATCACTGTATTTTTCGTACTCGCGGCTGCGCCGTGCATACGTGAATTTGCATGTTATATCTACTTCTAACCTGCTGATTCGGCCGAGCGCTCCAAAATTTAGAAATGGCGACAACGATGGAAATCGATGATGATGAATGTGATTTGCCTACCTCGAGTAGTGGAAAAGGCGAAAAGAAACGTTTTGAAGTGAAAAAGGTAAGTGCACATACGTAAATAGATGATAATGAAAATCGATTATATTCTACTACTTCTTACCACGCGAATGTAACTCTCCTAACCTTATTTCCACCTTTACTGTATTTGTTTTTATAATGCAACTAAACATGGTGATTATGTTTGTTTAGTGGAATGCAGTGGCACTATGGGCTTGGGGTAAGAATTACAATCAAGCATTGGAATTGTACAATTTTAAATTGCCTCGTACAATCTTTTTAAATATCTCGTTTTTCAGATATTGTTGTTGACAATTGTGCCATTTGTCGTAATCACATCATGGATTTATGCATTGAATGTCAAGCCAACCAGGCATCTGCTACAAGCGAAGAGTGTACAGTGGCTTGGGGTGTTTGCAACGTAAGTTTGATACTTGGATGTTAATAATGAGTTTTATGAATCATATCGCACATAATTGTATATCTTTTCAGCATGCCTTTCATTTTCACTGTATTTCACGTTGGTTGAAAACACGACAAGTTTGTCCGCTTGATAATCGTGAATGGGAATTTCAAAAGTAAGTTCTTGTTCAATATATTTTGGATTAGAAATTTTATAAGTATATTATTTTGTTTTATTTTATTTAAAGCACAAAATTTATGGTATTAAATGTGTATAGAATGTGTGTATACGTCTTTAAAGTAATATAAAGTTAATTTAGTATAATATAAAGCTTATCATGCCTAATTTTGATATCATGTTCAAAAGAAAGTGTATGTATGACAAGAATTTTGTTATCTTTGCAGGTATGGTCATTAATCAGAAGCACATATTTATACAACTCAGCATTTTTCAGTCAGCCATGTTGAGTATAATTCTTAAGTATCCTCGCAAATTATTTTTCATATGGAAGTATAATTGTTATATAACAAAAACTCAGTGAGCAAGGGAAAATATGATATTCCAGTATTGGAAATAGTGGAAGAACTTGCACAGTGTCATAGATCTTTGTTATTGAATAAAAATTTAATTTGTAACAATTATATTATTAATTCTAAAATTTCAAGATTATAATTTTCTCTAAACTATGCAAACTGTATTTGTAGATATAAGTTGATATAATAAATGAAAATAATCAAATACTTCCCGTTGATTTATTTGCATTATTCCCAATTGTTTTTTTAAAACGACAATCTTGTATTTTATGAAATTTTAAAATGTTGCAGAACATTGAAATATTTTTAGATGGAAATGATTTTGGTTACGTTTAACGTAAATGTATATTTTTAAGCATAGCACATATTGACTTCAATTACAATTTACAATAAAAAATCTTTTAACTTTGATTAATCCGATCTTTCACAGAGAGATCTCGTCTAGTAAAAGTTTCGTCCCGTTCTGTTGTAAGAACGGCACGAAGTGATTACGAAAAAAGTATGGGATGAGCTATACTCTTTTTACCCTTGAATCACATCCTCATCCTACATGTTTCTATTCAATTTTAATTCTAATGTGTATCGATTTAAAGATATATTTTTCATTAAACTTCTAATAAACTAAAAAAATTTGACATTTTACAATTCTATCTAATTACCATATACTTTTTACAACTTTGTTTGAATGAAATGTCATACATTGGTTTGCGTTCAACTATATTAATAGCAATGACATTTATTTAACATACATACATAACATACATTTATTTAACATAGTTCAGTGTACATCTTCATTACGCTCAAAGCGATTCCGCAAATCCGCGCCGATGCGGATACGCAGTTCCTTAACGAGATATAACGGGCGACTATCGTCGTCTATGACGTCACGTTGTAAGACCGATCGATCGTACTGAGATCGTCTCTCGAATCCCTCCTTTTCCAGTTCTAAAGCATTCAGCGAGAGGTTGGCACACGGCAGGCAATACTTATCAGGCGGGCGAAACCGGGGATAGTCCCGACGAGCCGGCTTCTAATCTGGGCATACAGCGAAAATTACATCTCGCGGGAGGGCCGGGAGAGGAAGAGCCGGTCGACATCCGCCTACAGAAAGCAACGATAAGCTTCTTCCACCTTGGCTCTTATTCTCTGCCGTCTGATTCTAGATCTCGGCGCTTATTCGGGGATTCGTGCGCGGAATAAAAACAAAAAGAGAGAAATAGAGCAGCTCGCACTTGCTCTAAGAAGGCTTATGAATAGTCAGGCGTGGGAAGGAGTTCGGGGGAGTTGCGTCTGCATCTTCTTGAAGGAGGTGTGCAACTAATGGAAAATCCATGGGTGGGTCGGTCAGTTTAATTGGATCATTAGACAGATTTTATATTAGTTTACGTCAAAGTTTGAATCCATTTAACATTTATAAAAAAATACAATAAGATACATTTATATGAACTATTTATATGAACTGACAATTAGAAAGATAAAGCAACTTTTCGTAAAAACAGTTTGCAAAGTTGCCAAGAAATTAGAATTTTTTAAAAACTAGAAATAGATTTGACTATTTGAATTTTACGAAATGTTGAAAAAAAATGATATGGAAAAATGTATTTTAAAAAATAGATGCAAATTACACGTACGCCAAATGTACGACATTATCAGCAAATTTAAATTTGATCAGAGAGCAAAGATTTTAATCAAATCAATTATCGTGATTACTTTTTTCTATGCACATGTATCACTATAAAATAGTGATAAGTTTTATTCACATTTTTTTATTAACAATACTAGAAGTAGGAAGAAAGCATTCAATTAGCATTCAAGATGTATAGAAATATCACAATTGTGAATTAAATTTTCAAAGTTTTTAATAAAAGTCATTTTTATAGTGGCATTTAAATCTAGTCAACTTTTTTTTAGATTATTTAATTATTACTTCTGAAATTACGCATTTTTGATCAAATAAAAAAATAGTTATATTAAAATAAGATCTAGTCTGCATTGATTCTAAGAAATATTTTATATTAATGTAGAGAAAAAATTTTCAAGAATTTTTATGTAAGAAACCAAAGATGAAGTCTTTTTGCAACTAAAAAATCCGATTGCGAATACGTGATGTATAGCTTCTGATTTCGTCGCTTTAGTTTCTTGTTATTATGTTTGGAGTTTGCAAATTTCAAGTGCAAAAACACTCTATCTAAACGTAACTAGGGCATGTCGGGAGTAGCGTCGCGGCGAGAGCGTCGATTTTTCGGCATCGTGGACCTCGCTTGTCATAGTTCGTAGCGGCAGGTGCGTACACTTGCCTGTAATATTTACCTGGGCGCGCGGGAGATGGGATATAAATACGATTTTCATCCTCGACGACGACAGCGAGCGAGGGCGAGCGATAGGAGTGAGGAGGGGACAAGGAAAATAAGAGGAGAGAGGAGGGATGGAGAGGTTGATAGGGAGAGTAGGTCGCTGGCGCGGGAGTGCGCGGGGGCAGCGAAGGCCTCATTTCCGGCGGAAACAGAGGTTCTCTCACCCCTGATAAAAGCCGCTCCGCTCTTCTCGTCCTTCTTGTTTCGACGGCGGCAAAGGCCAATCGAATTAAATACATTCCCGTAGAGGATCGTCCAATTCGACGACAGTGCTTCCGCGGTTTTTGTCTCGCGAATCGTCCGCCCCACACCGGTTGTCTCTACTTCTCCCTTAAATCTTAGTGTAAATCTACTTTCTAGAGGTAAATTTACTCTGGAAAGTCGGTTAAGGCTGTTAAGCTGTCGTCACTGTACTACACCTGGGAAGCTCGATTCGCCGAAATCCTTTAAATTTTATCGTTATGTACGTTTCGTAGCTGCTAATGCTTAAGTTAAAATGTAATAATTGCGATTTTTATGGAACATCTCGTTAATTCATTATGATTTTATGATGCTAAAATATATATTGACATTAAAAATACATTATGTTTGCACATTATTAGTATTTAATATTAATTGTATTTGCTACGAAAAGTTTCGAAGATTTTGGAAAAATAATATGCGAATTTAACACGTTTGCGAACTTACGAAAAGAAAATTCTAAATTTACATCTTTTTACATTCCTAGTTATGATCTTATATAAAAATGTGCATTGCATTGCGTTTAGGATACAATTTAAACTTGTTATCATGTTAAACTTTTAAAATAGTCTCGTGCAAGGTTAAAAAAAATTTGTTTTATAATGTTTGATAATTTATTCTTCCATTTTGTGGCAACCTGATAAATTTATCAGATTGCGATTCATAAAATTATGTATCTGTAGTATTTACATGGTTTTTCATAACAATCTTTCCAATTATTTCCGTTATATTTGTCCGCTGTATTCGGGGAGCCGCGATTATCGTTCGCATGCGAAACGGCCGGGCATTTTTCAGCGTTGTGCGTTGTATTATTTAAAAAAGCAGCGTCCCCAGTAGCAGCGCGGAGCCATCCATTATCCGTAGTCCCGATAAATCCCGCCGAGGTGTTCGGGCTCCTTGTGTTTGGCGGATATATCAAGGTTTCCTTCGTCTCGTCGCGCCCCGCGCTAGGACGCGATCATCGTCCTTTTCTACTTGTTTCTCCTCACGCCGCAGACTTTCGAATCAGCCGAGATTGTCGATGCGATTCAGAGGCGGATGAGCGCACCGATAAATCGAGAGATTTTTCTCTCGGCCACCCGTTACTCCCGAGTGTTGACAACTGACATCGTCTAAAAAACGACGCGAATGATTAGACGTGATAATTAGGCGATGAAGATTATATATGAAAAAAGTAATCGATACGATTGAAGGATTAGGGAAAGATAGGGAAATGAATGGATACATAGGTGTGCACGTTGCTATATTTTTATAGCAAAAACTTCTAACGACACTATTTTATAAAATTAGCAAACGAAGGGCGAATAAACGGCGTTAATGTTTTATAACTTATCGCTGTAACTTTCACATCCCTTTACTTTGATCAAAAGATTAATTCTACAGTTTATTATTCTCATTTACAAATTACTTCCGAATTTTTTATCAAGGCGAAGTGGCTCAACGTCCATCGTCGCTAAGCGAGAAAATTTAGTAGACGACGACGAGCCGGCTAACGATTTAAGCCGTAACTTCAGAACTTTTGCGGCGCCACTATTTTTCTGAAAGTAAGGTCCGGAAAAGGGGCGGAGGGCTTGTCGCAGATTAATTTTCGCGAATATAGCGGCGAGACTGATTTGATTTAAATCTGTCCAAGCGCCTACCTAAATTGGTTCCTGCGGGAGACAGCGACGTTGCCTTATTCTTGCGACTCCTGCCGGAACCGCGTTTTTCCCCGCCATCGAGAGATTTTCACACCGATGCCGCGCCGCTGATGGTGGTGGTGGCTGTCGCGAACGCAGGTAGTGCTTTGTAGCAACGGTAAATCCTCGTTAGATCCGTGAGAAAAACAAAGGCGAAGGTGGACGCCTGAACCGACTCGGTGATATTCTTTCCCTCTCTCTAGGTTTCTTATCGCGCGAAAGAGTTGTCTGTCTTTGTGCGGTTTCTGGTTCTGCCATTGTCACAGCTTCCTCGCTTTTTTTATGTCCTGAAACATTAGATCATATTGTGTCATTAAGGGAGAAAAATCTCGACTGCAGAATCTACTTGGGTTGTTTGTTGAATCTTCGGTATGTCTTCATGATTAATTGCGATACAATTTTTTTTCAATCGCGTTGCGATTTTGAAAAATCAAATTTTAGCAGTCGCGACGTAGATAGATCTGTTCAAGTGTTAATTTCTATTATTATATTGATTATTTGTCGCGGAAAAAAGTTCTATGGACTAGAAAACGTTGTGCAAACGCGTTGACTAAACATCTCAAAGGCTAAACGCTCGTTTTTGAGATGTAGACAAACCGGAAAGCTGCCAACCCGCGTATCTCAAGCAACATAGTATATACAGTATTCTTGGCTGACGAGTCTCCGAGAGAGCACTCGATAGGCTAAGTAAATCAGAGGCCTTTGGCCAAGAGCGAGGCCACCCTTTAACCCCCATACCATCTCCGCGGTTCCCTCCTGTCGTCCCTTGCGTGATAGTAGAAGTGGGGATGGCAGGGGCAACAAAGGGTCGGCTAAGAGCTCTTCAGCGACCACTCGCGCACCTTCCCCAACCTAGGAAGCATCACCTACTCTTCGGTTCAACTAGTCTTACTTGCTTGCTTGCTTGCTTGCTGTTGCTGCTTGCTTGCCCCATGACGTGATTTCCAACGAAATGTGTTTACCGTAAACCGTATCAAACTGTCGAGGACCGGCCTGCCCCAGCGTTGTAGCTGTCTGTCTTTTTCGAGTATGTCGATAAAAGTACGTATCTCAGTTTTGTAGCCGCCGTTTGTGGTGGTCATCAAGCAATCTCTCACTATTTTCGCAGAATTTGACCTGAAAAAAGATTTGATCGTGCAGTCAGATTTCTTACGACTGACATTTCAAATTATGATTTAGATGAAATTAACTGTGCAAGCGAAGCAATTGAAATATTACTGTAACTTTATGAACTGATGTGAAATAATACTCAAATTATTAAATTTTTATAAAATTTTCTTATAAAATGATATTAATGCACCCGCTTGCAAATAAATTATCATTAAATTTCAAACTTGTTGCAAAAAGAAATATAAGTATACTGCAGATTTAATATTATAATTGCTTTTGAAGCAATATCCACAAAAGTAAGAAATAATAAAAAAATTGAAGTTTAAATCTAGACATTACTACACTGGAAAAAAAGTTTTGTTGTATTATAAGAAATTCTGGTTGATTCTACTAGTACGTTTGTTCAAAATGGACGAAACAAATTTGTTGTTGGAATTACCAGAAGATTCTGTTAAATTTCATCCTGTTTAAATCTATCAGAATTTCTTGTAAACCTTACTACATC